GCCCCCATCCGGATGGTACCGTGCTTCCTCACTCCCTACAAACAACTTCCAAATGATGGGAAACCAAGGGATTTGGGATGATGGGGAAGCACAGAGGCACCCAAACACTCTGCTGACTGGGGGAAAAAGCAGAATAAGAAATTTTTTTCCCCCTGACAGAGTGGATAGGGGATAGGTCTAACTATTGCATTTCCTCCCATCGCCCTTTCTACAAGTCTAAAAGAAATCACCTCGCTTGCTTAGCATGGCTACGAGGATCCCTCAGCACAAGAAGGACATGGAACTGTTGGAACGGGTCCAGAGGAGGGCTACAAAAATGATCCGAGGGCTGGAGCACCTCTCCTATGAGGACAGGCTGAGAGAGTTGGGCTTGTTCAGTCTGGAGAAAAGAAGGCTGCGGGGAGACCTGATTGCGGCCTTCCAGTACCTAAAGGGGGCCTATAGGAAAGATGGGGAACGTCTTTTTAGTAGGGCCAGCTGTGTTAGGACAAGGGGAAATGGTTTTAAACTAGAACAGGGTAGGTTCAGGCTAGAGGTAAGGAAGAAATTTTTTACAATGAGAGTGGTAAAACACTGGAACAGGTTGCCCAGAGAGGTAGTGGAGGCCCCATCCCTGGAAACATTCAAGGCCAGGTTGGATGGGGCTCTGAGCAATCTGATCTAGTTAGCAGTGTCCCTGCTCACTGCAGGGGGGTTGGACTAGATGACCACTAGTGGTCCCTTCCAACCCTAAACATTCTATGATTCTATGATCCCACCACCCCAGCACGACCCCCCAGTCACTCCTGCTCCCAGCCTCTCCCACTGCCTACAGCTCCGCCAGCGGAGACCTCCCATGTGCTTACGAACGCTTCCACGCTCCCCAGCCAGCCCCACGCCAGCTCCCCTGCTCCTCACCACCAGCCCCAGGCCGTAAAGACGACTGCAAAACAAGGCTGCGGTGCGCTTTGGGATGGGTTTGTGGGCTTGTTTTCGCAGCTTTAGCCATTTTAAAACATGTAAATATGAAGGAAGGGTCAATGATTCAACAGTGATTAAGTCTGAAATACTCCACTTGGTACCCGTTAGGCTTTGCAAATACCCGTCGTGTCCCCAGAGTGCAGCCAAGCAGAGCCCAGAGCTGGGGAAAGCTTTCTTGGAAGGCTTGAGGTATCTTGTGAAAATACCGAGTTAATTTCAGTAAGCAAAAAGGAAAAAAAATTATAGCAAGAGACAATAAAAGAATTACTGTGTTGTAGATTCTTAATACCATTTCCCCGGAGAGAGGAAAACCAACAAAATCTAATGGAAACTTTCTATTCTCAAAACCATTTGCACCGTTATTGTTTGCAACTGAGAGCAGATGAAAACACAAAACCCCAGCAGATTGAGTTTCTGAAAATTGCAGAGCTGCCTGCTTTTTTTTTTTTTTCCCTTGAAGAATAAAACTAAACTGCACCTGGGATGTAAAGTTCCCACCTTACAAAAATACGGAAAACCTTGCAACAGCCTCCCAGCCTGCAGGGTTAGAGCAGCCCTCAAGCTTGCCCTTGCCCCAGGAGCTAACCAGGACCCAAAGCCCATTGAGCCTAGCACAAAACTTCCTTCCGTCCCTTTGGAAAAATCCAAGCCGGTATTTCAAGTCCTGAAAATTCCTGTGGATTTGAAATGCTTTATGAAACACGCAATCAAGCAACACAGTTAAATAACGGAGCCTGATTTAAGAGGCTAGCGCTAGTCTTTGCAAAAAGAGGGATCATTTCTTCATCTCCATCTGCTCCCAGCTGTACTCAAGATACCGTAAACTGCTCTTCCAGTTTCTCTTCACCCAAGAAGCAGCAGAGGAGCAGTGAGATTAATTCACTAAACTCCATCATCTTCATCTCCTGAAAAGCTGCTGTTGAGTAGAAAATTGTGTTGCCTCCAAGGATGTATCCCTACGCAGGCGGGTGTAAGGGTGGCCACCACCCACCCCATACACACACCCTGGACCTGGGGAAGCCTGACAAGGTTCTACCACCTTGACTAAAAAAGTTCCTTCTACAAAATCCCTTTAAGGAGGAAATAGCTGCCAACAAGACATTTTATTCCACACTTTGGCAGCTACAATTCTATTAACCTCCAAAATGAGGAGTGACAGCACGACTGCAAGTCCTAGTCTATAATTAGGGAGAGCCACCGAGGGTCGGTGTCACGGGGCTCCTTCAGCGTGGCATAACGTGGCAAGGGCAGGGTTACCGCTCGCTGCACCCACGCTGAAAATAAACTTATCTCAAGCTAAGCTGATGATTTCATTTCCCTGGTGAATGAGATATCTAATTATCAATAATTCATAGGCACAGACAGACGTGCAAGTGGTTTTGAGAACTGAAGTAGAAACAGAAGTAATGATTCTTGGAAGAAGAGCCAGCAGAGAGACAGATCCAGACAGGGAAGAGAAGGTGCACTTTGCATGCACGTGTCAAAACCAATCTAATTTCAATCACATACGTGACGGCCTGGGTGCCAGTTTAACGGGGGCATTTTCCCCGTACACTCTGCAGTTGGTATATGACAGGATGCTTGCCTGGATGGAGCCCAGCTCTACCTATCCGGATGGACAGCTCGCTCTCGTAGTCCAGGTGATGGGCAGGTTCATGCTCATATTTTTCTTTCATCGCTCGTTGGTCGCAGCTCAAGGCAAAGACTGCGTGGGGAGGCCCACTGAAACCCTGCAAGGCAAGAGGAAAAATTAAGGGGTTTCCCTACGGTATTGGGTCAAGCTGCACGGCGCTGGGCTTTCTATCGGTATGTAGCAAGGGGTTGGTAACACCCCAATGTTTTGGCTACTGCTGAGCAGTGCTCCAAACAGCATCAAGGCTGTGTCTCCAACGTTCCCACCACCACCACCACCAGTGGGTTGGAAGGGGGCAAGATCTTGGGAGGGGATGTAGCCAAGACACCTGACCCAAACCAACCAAAGGGATATTCCATACCATATGATGTCAGCTCAGATATAAAAACTAAGGGAAAATGAAGAGGCGGTGGGGGGGGCCATTCGTCTTTTATGACATTTTGTCTTCCGGAGTAACAACTATGCGTACTGAAGCCCTACTTCCCGGGAAGTGGCTGGGCATCGCCTGCTAATGGGAAGTAGAGAATAAAATCTTGTTTTCCTTTTGCTACCACGTGGCACCTTTGCTTTTGGTTTTTTATTAAACTGCCTTTACCTTGACCCAAGAGTTTTCTTTCTTTTCCATCTTATTCTCCCCCTGCCTGTCCTGCTGACGAGGG